GCACCGACCTAATGATTGCAAATACAAACTACAAGAGGATTTCTACCGACAGTGGACACTGCCCAGAGGTAGTAAATCAAAACTACAAGAGAACCCTACAGGGTTTAAAATCACAATGTTGATGAAATTTAGTTGAATTTGAATATCAAACAGCCTAATTTAAAGCTTTTTAGATTTTTCAACAATTAACAAACAGTGAAATTAAAATACAGCGCTATACATAGCTGTCGGCCCTGGTCTTGGTACTTTGTAATACTATAATGTGAATTTTGCATGTGATTTAAGGAGCTTGAATCAAAAGACATCCATAACCAATATAAAAAATGTTTACCTGATAGACAATACATAGAAATAATTCCCATATTACTGAAGTATCTTTTTTATTCATTTGTTTTGATAAATTATCAAAACTGGAGATAAACTTTCAAGTTTGTAATTTTGAGCTATCTTTTAGTATTGTTACCCTAAACATATGTATTTAAACACAAAATAATGTTGTTAAAGAATGAAAGAACACACATAAAACTGTGTTGCTCTAAATCTAATTGAGGTTGAAAATCTTTTGAAAATGGCAGGAGAGTAAAATAAATACAGGGTAAATTTAGAAATACAGTAGATAAGAGATAAAACATTGACAAAGGACACACCACAAGTGTATAGCAGTCAACGTTTTAAAACATCATCTCTTCATTGACATTTATAATTTTAAAAAACCTAAAGTATTGCGTATATCTGACAATTTGCTGAAATTCTTAGACTTTATTTTGACTTTTCATTAATAATTTAACAAATCTATTTAAAGTTGATCAATTGCTATGTGGACATTAGCTTAAGGAAACGAAACAGTAACCATATCTGGTTAAACACACGTCAAGACGTTTCCAGGTTTAAGAAAATTTCGACACATCTCTTCAACTTTTTATGATTAATTTTTACTCTCTCGGAGCATGAATGAAAAGTTCTAAATACTTTATTATACAGACATGTAATTTGTTATTGTTATATTACTCGTATAATTTACATTCAAATCCATCAGTTTACATGTATTATATTGGAACGGAATAAGGAATTCATCAATCCATGTACATACATATATTAAATCTGTTTTAACCTATAGCATACACGGCGAGCAATTTAAAATTCTTTGTATAGGATTAAAATCAGATGATGCTATATAAGTTGCAGAGTGACAGTTTTGTTACAAATTATGATGGAGTTGATTTGGAAGTGTTTGCTCATTCTCATTCTTTCAAAAGGTAAATATTAATTTGTAACTTCTGTTAAATGTACTTGTTATTTGGAGGGTTATGAGGAGGTTTAACGTGAATAATGACATAAATTACAGAAAGATGACAATATTCAAATGATTAGAAGATTAATATAAAAAGGAATACAGAAATGGAGAAAACTATTACCTGCTGATAACAAGAAATGTACAGAATAGGATAATTAAATATTCCACAACATTTTAAAACAAAATGAGTTACTCTTTTTTTAACACCAGATCGCTGAAGTCATGTGTATCAAACATTTTGATATATGATGTGGCTTAGGTGTTGTATGCCTTTCTTCAACTGATGTTTTTTTTTCTATTTACTCCATTGTATGATCTTTTTTCATACAAACACTTTTGCATTCACATTCTACTATCAACGGAAGTGTGTTGTAACTGTAAATATCCCTTACATATTCTTAGCAATTTCTTTTGTAAACTTTATTTTTTCAGTGTAATTTGTTTACTATTTAAAGCGTGTCACACAATTTTGGATTAACTATTTCGCCTAATGTTTTTTTTTTAAAAGGTATAAATGTGCATTGAAATGTACTTTATATTGTTTTCCCCGTACATCCGGATAGCAATACAATGGTTAATTTTGGTAAAATTTTACCCAAAGACATGATTAAGTCGTTGATTTGTAATTTGAAAGTCCAAAGACTTACAAAGGTCGTTATGTATTTAAAGTGTAAAATTATTCATAACTTGATAAATAGATGCTTATGCTGATTCGAATTTAATTGTTTTATTTATCAATAGAAACATAAATCTTTCCTTAAAATCTGTAACAACCTGATAATTTTATTTGTTTGTATCCTTTGGCTTTGGATTTCACATCCTGAAATTAATGAAAAATGACTTGAAATCTTAAGCAGAGTAGATATCTAATATGATAACTTTAGTTTTATAAGAAACTTTAATTGCATCCATTGTTGTCAATAGGAATGATCATGTTCCGTAAACTTTGATAAGACAATAACGCAAGGAAACACCATCGTGAATGACTGACAAACTACAATATCAACGTCAAGTCGTTTAGACAACGTGTGAATAATTGTAAAAGATACCATTGATCAGATACCAACATCAAAATCCAAAACAAAATTAAAACAATTCAGAGACATTAACATCTTTGCTATAAGTAAACGTATTAAAGAAATTTTTCTCTATTATTTAGAACAGATTTGCCTTCTCAAGCTATCTCGAGTAAAACATATTCGATTTTATATACAACATAATTGTAGCTGCGTACAACTGTTCCTTTGAATAGTTTTTAACAGCTATTGCTTATAAATAGAACTTGTAATAGGCGAAGACCTTCGAAAGAATTCTGACTGAAAGTAATCGGATTGAATTGTAATTTCATATTCAGTATATATTTTTGATTCTATATAGCACATCTTAAGGACATTAACGAATCGATATTTGTCCTTTGCTGTCACTTTAATATTCATTTAAGTCGGCTTTTATACTATTTGTCCCCAAGCATGTGTTAAGTTTATATAGAGGTAGTATAATGTTTTGACACTGCATCAAAGCCGTCAACAAATTCCTCTATATTGTCCCAGAATTTCCAAATGACTATAGTAATGCGATCTAAATAATTGTTTGTCTGCTTCTATTCTATTGATTTGATAATTATTTATCGAGTTCAATCCATTTATTACACCTCCAATTTAACACTTCCGAAATTAAATGATAGAATTTACAAATATTCTACAGAGAGCCAATGTCGGAAGCAACGCTAAAGTTGATCGCGTTTGAATTGAATTCAAAGACGCAGATATATTTTATCTGGCTACGTCCTTAATTCAACGGTATTGTCATCGTCCGGAAACTTTGTTACAAGTATATAAAACCAGCACAACCCTTAACAATCCGTAGAAGATAAACAGCACTATTCTTAAATTAATCTGATACAACGAAAGAGAACAAATAGTGTTTCATTTCAAGGAATAATGACTTTTGCCTAAATTTTCAGAATTATTGTGACTTTAATTCCGATTTATCGACCATGTCATTAACATTTGAATGAAGCATAATTTCAGATGAGCTTTTACTTTACATTTCAAGATTTCAAGCGATTAAGGATATTTTGTGCGGACATAGGCATTATATCGTATTTTGAAGCGTTGCGACATTTTACATTGTTCATTTAGACCACTACAATGTTTAAGCAAACATTGTATTATAAAAAATGTCATGTTTGGTTATTCCTGTACAGAGTCCTAACAATATCTTCTTTTCAACGATTGAATTATTCAGACATATGTTTGAATTGATTAGTTTAACTTGCAAGTTGTTAATGATCACCTTTGATATACTGCAACTAAAACCTAGTTTCTTTGTTGTTGTCATTTTATAGTATTCATTTGATTTATTTGTTTTTGCAATATACCATCTGTATATTAAATATTGTGTATGGATCTCCAATGAACTTTTTTTATAATCTTATTGTCCATATTCGTTCATTTTAATCCCAACCACTTAACATGCAAAAGATGCTGATTCAAAAGAGCATTAAAACAGAAGCTCTATTTGTCATCCTTGGCTTTCAAATATTCGGCTTTTGGAGTTCCTGATAAAGGTAAATCCAGAAAAGCGCCTCGGACGCATGAAATTTATAAAGTGTTGTTTTCTTTTAGAAATTTTAAAGAAATTAAGGTTTCTGCTCCCTGTGGCAAAGTTGACCTTAGATGAATTTGGCTATATCTTTAGATCTTTTTTGGTCATTTACTCTTCAACTTCTCCGGATTTTATACATGCTTGGCCTTCAAATATTCGGCTTTCATGGATCCTGATGAAGCTAAATCAGAAAAGCGCTTCGGACGAATGAAATTTAAAAAGTGCTGTTTTCTGTATTTTTCCCTACGAGATGAACAATAGAATTCCAATAAGATAGAAAATATCATGCTTTCTAAGAAATTCACTTGCATATGAATAATATTGTGATCCAACAATCCCAAGATTTTACCTGGGCTTTTTGTCAAATAACATTCTTCCAGATTTTGCATCCAGTATTTGTCATTAGACATTTGGCAAACATCAACAATCAATCGATAGTTCCGGTTTTAACATTACTATGTTTGTGTTTTTTTTTATAGAGTATCTTCTGTTTAACTTATTGCAGCTATTGGATTGAATACTGTAGGAAAATTATCCGTTCAATAACTCTAAGGATATTATGTATTAATGTAAGATCTGTTCATTTTTCTTTATTCCTAGGTCATCTCCTATAATGACACTTTTCGATCACATGTTGGTTATTTCCTTCACCGTTCTTTTGATTTACCATCATTCAGGCTTTCAAGAAAAGGATCATGATGATCAAATACAGAGGTTTTCCCAACAAGCCCATCAAAGAAAAACTTCATTATTTCAAAAAGGCTGAACAATCAGTTTCGGTAAGTTTCAATTAGGGTTTTCCTAAGCTCAGGAGAAGAAAGTCGAAAGTCAAGTAATTATTTTCCAACCTTTGAACAAATATTCTAAAAATGAGGATGCATTTGTTGCTGTTTTCATGTTATGCAGATAATACATACCAACAAGACCACTAAAGAAAATACATTAAACATTTTTAAAAGGCTGAACAATCATTTCAAGTAAGTTTACATTAGAGTTCCCTAAGCTCTGGATTAGAAGGAGTAAGTAAATATTTTCCAATCTTTGAACAAATGTTCTAAACATTGGCTATAATGATTTCATTACTGTTTTCAGGTAAAGCAGAAAAATTCATGGTTAACATTCCTGAACTTAATGTTAGTCCTGTACAGGGAAGCATCGGCAAAAGTATAACCGCACTAGGCCTGATAGAATGCGCTTGTATGTGTGACTCTGAAGAGTTCTGTGATGCAATTTATTACAACCAGTCATCAAGTCGATGCACAACGGTTCACAATCAGACTGATAATTATTCAATTCAAACAGAGATATCTGGTATTTACTATAGAACAAAAGGTAAACATAATAAATAATTGAATGATTGTAAATTTTAAGAGATAAATGAAATAGTGTACAAATATGTAGACTTCCAGCCAGTTAAAGTAACAGTTTCCTGTTATTTACGTCAAATTTTTATAAATTAAATGTAATGTTCTACCAATGCAAACGTCAACAGTAAAATAATTAAATGAAGGCTACAGTAGTATACTGCTGTTCGAAAACTCATAAGTCAATAGAGATAAAAACAAATCCGAACTCCAAGGAAAATTAAAAAAGGAAAGTTCCCTAACAAATGACAAGATCAAAAGCTCAAACATATCAAACGAACGGAAAACAACTGTAATATTCCCGACTTGGTACAGGCATTCCGTTATGTAGACAATGATGGATTAAACTTGATTTTTTAACTAGCTACACCTCTCACTTGTATGACAGTTGCATAAAATTCCATTATATTGAAAACAGAAAGATTGCCCCATTAAAGCAACATTATATATAAATAGTATAAAATAAGTGATTTAATTGCAAACCAGATAGTAGATGATCATCATAAACAACAGTAGCATTACACAACACCAAAATTCAGTCAATAGAAATGACACTTGGCCAATTAAAATGAAAATCAAACCATGAGCAGCATTCTAAGAGGGTTCGTACATATATCAAGGTCAAACATTGGTAAATGTGAACAAAACACTTAAAAGTTATCATGGTTTAAAATATAGCTTTTGTTAAATAAAGTAATGCTTTTCCTTGTCGGCTTGATTTAGGGTTGTAACACAGAACATGATGTATAGTGGCAAGCAGATGGTGTACCTTTCAGATAAGCTATGTTTGTCTGTCGTAAGGATGATTATAAAATTACCATTCCGTCACATCAAACTTTAATTTTTATTATAAACGTCTAAACATTGAAAATTATAGGACAGACGTTCTTAATTGGATAACACTTGGTTATACGTTATACAGGGCTAATACCATAATCCATATAAACTTCGTATTAAATGTAGCCTAACAATGTTAGATCTGCAAATAAGCGTTGCAAATTTGTGTTCCTTTCTTAGCGGGATTCAAACCCTTGTTTCTGTGACATCTTGGCAACAACGGCTGCACTGTGTCGAGCGCCATATATATACATTCACAAGTTAACAAAATTGTAATCGTCATGTTTCAATATAAGACAAGACGACATATACAAGACATGAATATGTAACCTACATTAGCCCCCTTTTCCTCTTAGATTCACACAACTAACAAGTATGTTCAAACTCAGTATTGTAAATAATATTCTGCCCGTTATATCATATTACATAAAGATGTATAAACAGACATTTCGTCACATCTTTCTTACAAATTTTTCCTGTAATAGCTACGGCATAGATCTCGCAACGGTGAAATATGTAAATCATGACAAATCAGATTTTTTTTTTTTTTTTTTTTTTTTTTTTAATTTTAAACATATTTGATTAATAATCACCTGTTACATCAACCCTAAGTTGCCCAGGGAAGCAACAATGGGGTCCCCGATTTTTACAGGCTCATTTGTCGGGGAAAAAGCAAATGAGAAAAAAAAAACTCACACTATTAATAATTAACATCTATCTTTATAAATATCATCTATCTTTGTACAAATGTACATGTAGTGTAATCTATCTATATATTTTTAATATCACAAGAAATATAATTGCTTGAATAAAGTATTCATTCTATCGGGGTTTTTTTTTCTCTCAAAAAGCTACCTGTATTTATTAGGCAGTTTCAATTTTATAGCACTTCACTCCGTTCTTTTGTTATGTTAATTTCTATTACTTTAAATTTCTGGTCGAGTGATCTTTTGCCACGTGCTACTCGTTAAAAATTAACTTAAAGGAAGATTAATGTGTTACAGTAGTTCTTTTATAAAAGTTGGATTTAAGATATTGTTTCCCAAAAATGATTTATTTCAAAGATATGGTAAGTAAATATTTGCTTATAATATGTACCTGTTGATACAACCTGTCCTTGTTACAAGTACATAATATACATAATTATACATAATTTACATACACAATAGAAAATACATAGTATATAAAGGGAGTTGAGAGTAATGCATGATAATTTATTCAGTATTGAAGAGGTCATTACACTGGCCTGACCACGCAAAAATATATATTTATATACAAAAAGTGTCGCACATAGTAGAAAAGGCTTCATTGTTCGTATTTCGTTTAAGGGGTTTGAACAAAAATTGCATTTCATGTTTTATCATATTGAAAATCATCGATTTACTTATCCCTTTCTTTTGATATTTTGTGATGTTTCTAGTTTCCCAAATAACCCGTATCTGCATTTATGACACCCAAAATGATACTAGTTTCCGATTGTTGTAATTTTTCGATCCCAATTTTGAACAAAATTCCCATATTTTCTAAAAAATTTCCCTCCAAACGTCTTCCACCAGTGTACAGTAAATAAAAAGATGAAACAGTGATCCTTTTTCATTACAAAAGTGACACTTTCCGTTTGACCGATTCATTTTTTGTAATTTTTCTTCTGTGTAAATTATATTATGAAGTAGCTTCCATTGAAGTTGTTTAGTTTTCCTATTTGCTAAATTCTTATTCAAAGTGACCCAAATATCGCCCCATGGTAGTTCTTTCCCGAAATGTAAATTCCACTTAAACTGACTATTTGGAGTTGTGTTATTCTCATAAATCAGATTCTTAATTACAAGTAAAAGGGTGGTTGGCGAATTAACGCAATAATTAAAATAATGCTAAGTCCTATCAATACAGTCACCTGGACACAATGCTCTTACTTAGAAAGATTATATTTGTACACATGATCACTAAGGGTATTTATCCCTAAATTAATCTAATTTGAAACTTATTCTTAAAACAATGCCCACTTGAAATATTGTTCACCATAGCAATTCAGGTTCTTCTTTAACAATGTTTTTAATTATTTTTATTAATATTCCAAAGATAGGCTAGAATTAGTTCAGGTGACAAACTAATAAAGTCCCTAATCGTAGCTAGAAGAAAAGAATGAAAAAATGGTACTATGTGCCTAAATTTGAAAGCCAAAGTTGTGATAGTCATATTTGTCATGAATATCGGTTTGGTATGTGAGTGTATCAAGCGTCATTCTGATTTAAAACAGGGACATTCAAAACTCATGAGTCGAAATTAACTGTACTTATACTATGAACAACAAATTTATTTACTTTGTTAAAAATGTTTTCCTCCGTACTCCTAACAACAAACTTATTATATTTAAATTTACCTGTGTACGTTGTTTTATTTAACGCCATTTTTTTCCCAAGTTAGAGTTGTCTTTTTGACACTATTCCTACATCGTTTTTTATTACTACTTGTAACGTCTATGTTATATAGGCACCTACGTTTTTATATTGTATTTATATTGTGTCATAGATCAAACTTATTCGTTCAGTGTATATTTACTTGTTTTTGTTTAAATGTCTTTTTGATCGACAATTTTAATTGATATTTTATGTTCAGTGGTTGTCGTTTGTTGGTGTAGTCCATAAGTGTTTCTCGTTTCTCGTATTTATATAGATTAGACCGTTGGTTTTCCTGTTTCAATTGTTTTACACTAGTCATTTTGGGGCCCTTTAAAGCTTGCTGTTCGGTATGAGCCAAGGCTCCGTGTTGAATGCCGTATTTTGACCTATAATTGTTAACTTTTTATACATTGTGACTTGGATGTCTTGTGAAACGGATATTCCATAACGGTTAACCAACTCGTGATGGCTTTCGTAAAATTTATGAAGGGGTGATTTGAACTACACCACTTGGAACTCTTGGTCTAATAGCTTCCTTGTGAGCAGCAACCCTCTTTCCAGGAAATCATGACAGGAAATACAAGCCCTGGAATATCGTATCAACTGGGAGATATATATTCCGTATGCGTAAAAAATCTGATTGCTGATGAACAAAGCTTATTCTAACCCGAATATCCAGTAAATTTTGCTACGATTTATTTCTCTTTCTCTTTTCATTTCATGGAAAAAATCTTACAGTAGAATCTAATATTTCATACATTTACCTTTAGCCGCTAACTTATTAAGGACAAAAAGAAAAGATTAAATACACGTTGTCAAAGGAATAAAGGAGTCGAGGATTCGTTAACTCATAGTATTCTGAATTAGAAAGAAAAAAGGCTTCTAATAGTTCGGTAATGTCTTCTCTATTAAAATTACATATTCAAATAATATAGCGAAATTAGATTACTGTGGATTCATTATTATTCGTTGGATACTAATTTTCGTGGATTTCGTGGGTACAGGTGAGCCACGAATTCAAATGTTCAACGAATTACACATTTTCTATATGCTTTGTATGCAGAGATTGGCAAAACCACGAAATTAAATATCCACGAAAATGCAAGTTTTCCTCAATCAACGAAAATTGATACCCACGAAAATAAATGAATCCACAGTATATTAAATTATATAATAATAAATACATAAATAGACGATTCTGGAAACTTAAAAATTACATTTTTATTACGCAAGTGTGGAACAGCATTTATACCTAAAATATCTACAATCGAGTGTCTTAGCTTTGGAAATGTTTTATCCCTGTTTCGAGTCTAAATAATAATACAAACAAATTCTCCTAACGTGTCACGTTTGTTGCATGCAAGCTCAACGCAGGCGTCACATGATTTATATATTTTTAGAATAATTCCTTATGAACCGAACGAAATTGACATGACTAACTTATTATGCAATTTCTTTGAATCGTGTGATTTAGATTTACAAACTTTCGTCATGTTATATTATAAATTAACAAATAAATAAATAAATTATTTTGGAAATTTTTAATGTAGGCTTTTATTATGCAAGTGTGAAAGTTCATTTATACATCAAAAGGACCGGAAGAAACATATTGAACATCTATTGTTGAAATTTATTATCCCTGTTTTCAGTTTTTGATCAAAATAAATTCTTAACCAAAAAATTATCCCAACATGTCACGCAAAATACATACAAACTTCAAACACTCATCATGTAGTTTAAGTATTTTAAAAGTATTCTGTATGAACCAAATGAATTTGAAACGTCTTTCACATATCTATTTATTAACGATTTGCTTCTGATGGCAAATAATGCCATAAGTGTGCACCAGAGAACCGTAAAATATTTTTAATATATTTCGTCTTTGAATTGCTCTGGAAGGTGTAAAATTAGAGGGATGAAAATGAAGCAATTATATCAGTATGTACATACCAACTTGAATATCCCAACTCAGGATGCGATTAAAAATACCTCAATCGAGAAAAAATTTGTGCGTAAATTTTCTGGCGTCAATACTATACTCTTGATTATGTGCTGCGCATTTTAACTAAAGATGTCAATTAGATGTGGATGTTTACAAAGTCTAAAGATCTCTTCGTAACCACGATCCGGTCTTCTTTTCCCCGAATGTGACCTTCTAAATTAGACTTATCACAAGGTTTGTACTTACGACACGATGGGTGCCACATGTGTAACAGGAGCTGGTACCCCTTCCGAGGTACCTGAGATAACCCTCGGTTTTTGGTGGGGTTCGTGTTGCTTAGTCTTTAGTTTTCTATGTTATGTTTGGTATACTGTTGTTTGTCTTTTGGTCTTTTTCTTTTTTTTTTGCCATGGCGTTGTCAGCTTATTTTCGACCTATTGTTTTTAATGTCCCTTTGATATCTTTCGCCTCTTTCAAAATTTTTAATAACAATCTTTACAATTTTTTAAGCTTTACCCTACTTTTCCCGATGCACAATTGAAATATCAAAGGCATCGACTCATTAAATAGATTATTTTCTACAACAATAGGAATCGTTGATACATATTCCTTATTAAAGGTCATGAAAAATCGTACAATTTAAAGAACCACATTGGTTTCAAAAGCAAATACAACAAAAATTATATCATCAAAATGCTGGACGTTTTGATCGACAATATATTTGATGAATTGATAGACGGTATTCAAATGAGTACTAAGCGTGCATCCTTACTGACCAAACAAAATGTTTTTGTACTGACATGAAAACGAATTTAAACAGAAGCTTCTCAAGACAAAAAGAATAGGCATCCTACAAGTTCATTAATTTAACTTTCAGATATATTGATGATGTCCAGTCACTCTATTATTTTAGCTAGCTATAAAACAAGGTTTAACCCACCATTTGCTTCAGAAAATGCCTGTACCAAGTCAGGAATATGACAGTTATTTTCCATTCGTTTAGTTGGATCAAATAGTTGAGCGAATGCTTCTGTCAGGGTTTATGGACCATTGTTGAATTTACCTTGGGGTTCGGTATTTATGTTAATACATTTTTTAGAGTTCATGCTATTTTTTCAGTTTTGTCTGTGACCTTGATTTGCATTTTCTTCATCGATTTATTGGATTGAACATCGATAAATTATTTTTGCCGTAAGTTATCCGTTTCATATATATGTTACTTTTGCAGTAATAGTATTAATGGTACAAATTTTACAGTAACGAGAACTATTGCTTTATCTTTTTGTTATGTCATGTCAATAAACCTATTTGTAATAAATTTTGGTAACTACCAATATTCTTTCAGATTAACAATGAGACATTCTCGACGAATGAGACGTTGTTTTTTTAGTATTAATTCTTTCACATTATGTCATCCCTGGACCTTTTATGTCTTACTATATAATATTGCTTTGAATCACTGTTGAAGACCGCACAGTGACCAGTAATTGTTCAAATTCTTGTCATCTGGTTATTATGAATAGTTGTCTCATTGACAATCATACCATCATAATCTCCTTTGTTTTTTTATTTCGATTTATATTGAAAATATTACAGGAATGAACAAAGATATTGGACAGTACAATAGAGTGCACCAACCATTAATACTCGACTCATAAGAAGACGTACTAACAAGGACAAAATATCAACGAACAAAATATGGTCTAGATAGCCTCTATTGGTACAGACACACACAGTTCGGCCGTCAATCCAATTTACTTGGCAACCAATCCCCATTTTCCTATCTAGACCATGTATATGAAAAATCTGAGACAAAGTAAAAGCCTGCACAGTCCCTTTAAACCATTTGTTTAGTAGACATGCAGTATGTTTTTCTATTGCGTGTGAAGAATTTGAGTACCATGCTTTTATATATCTAAGCAATATATATAATTTATATGCAGGCAAAGAGAGTATAATGATGTCCTTGTTTACGAATTTTAGTTATATCAAAATTTGAATTATTTATTCATATATCTTGGTTTGCAGATATCGAAAAAGCACAAATATATTGAATAACAGAGGAGCCCGTTTTTTTATGTAAATAGTTTTCGAATTCTTTTAGCTCGTTACAATATAATTGGTATTGAAGCATAGATAGATGTTTTTCTCTTTGATTGTCTTTTATTTTGTACAACTAATAAGTTTTTGTTAATAAGTGCTCCTCTCCACATATTGCATTTCACTCAAAATTTTGTTCCAATTGCAATTTATTTTATCAAATCAAACTGACATCTTTGTAGCGTTTTGTGAACTTGCTTGTCGTTTTGTCGCCTTTCAATGTTGACTATAGCGTAGTCATGTTCTCTCGAGATATGAGTTTGCATGTCAATGAATTTGTTGTGTGAATAAAATTTCTTCTACACACTGAGATAAACTTAAAAGAAAACGTATTCATTTCATTTACAGAGGTTAAAACTTGTTCATATGATGGCTACGAATATGCGTGGGAATTAGACTTGTGTCTTAAGTTCTACATTACCACGACAGAAAGATTATCTTGGTCTTACTCACGAACAAGATGTCAAAACGAGGCTGGTGACCTAGTTGTAGTAGACAGTGAATTCAAAGACAAGCTGTTCCTGTTATATCTAAATAAAATACACGGTAAGTTCATTTTGAGAGACCGATTTATTTCTAATGGACAAAAACATGAAAAAAAATTTATATTGAGTATGATAGCATGTAAATTGTAACCTTGATTTTCTGCTGTTATTGACAAAAGTATACGGTATTGTTAATTAACAGATTGAATTATCTGCCTTTACAAAAGTAATTTATTTCATTATATTTATACACAATAACCCTATAATAATAGAGCAGACTTTTTCACATCGTTCCGGAAACAAATATTTCAACCAGAGTTGTTTCTTTATATAATGAAAGACTACTGTTTTTGTTTCTAGATCATTTTTTGAAATAAATAAGAAGGTTTTTGCGAAGAAGAATTTGCTACTTTTTTCACTTTTTATCATTATAGTTTTTTTTTCTTGTAGACATGACGTCAGTGAAACGATGGTGGATTGGCGGGAGTGACGTATTAAATGAGGGACAATTCGAATGGATATCTGGTCAGAACATAATGTATACAAATTGGGATCCAGGACAGCCTGACAATGCATCAAATGATGGTACAACAAATGCTGATTGTATGCAATATTTTTTTAGAACAATCGAACAATCTTTTGCGTGGCTTGACCTCCGTTGTGATAGTAATCTTTCCTCTATTTGTGAAAGTGGGGCATTTATTTAAAGAAGTATATGGTGACGTGTGATTATAGCACTCCTCCGTTGATATGGAGCACAAGACAATTTGAAAACTGATAGCTAGATTCAAATTTCTTGTTTAATTTTGAATAATTTTTAGGTTTGCCGCATCAGATTAATTATATAATAAATTGACGATTTATCAGCTTTTTAAGAGAGTTTGAACCTCAAGACCGAAAATAGACTACCCTTCTCTTCGTCTTTCGATTTTGAATACATTTGTTTTAACCATGCGAAACTGTGTTGTTTTTCATCAATACTAGTAAAGCTATTATTGTAAATTTGCAATCATTTCAGCAACAAAATGGTATTATGTTTTTTCTAACATTGAAGTGGTTTAGCTTTCTTTGTCGGTGAAAGTTTTAATGTTCACTCACCAAAAATATACGGTATCCCCTACTTGCACTTGATAAACAGTGATATTATAAGAAAACAGCTTGAAAATGTAAAGGCATTTAACTGATGAAGTATCTTCTAAACGCCATAAAAGGATATCAGCATTTAAGAAAGGCTTGGATTATTCAAATATTCCAACCACAATCAACTAATAATCTGCTGTCAGAAAATTACAATCTGATTACTGTGCATATTCGAAAGACTTTTCCTTTATCAAAACCAATTTGAGAAAATGTTATACCCAATTGCAGTTTGAATTCATATCGACACCTGATGAACTAGTTAAAAGTCTTAGCTTATTTCTTAGATAAAAAGTTATTAGTATGAAGCTAATGCCGCGTATTAAAAATTAGTATTCTTATCATACGAATCATGTGATTGACATCTGTTATGACAAATGCAATTAGTCATTGTGACTGCCTAGTTATAAGGAATACTAGTTACAAAAGTATTATTTTGATCTTTGGACTTCCATCCTAATGATATTTTAATAAGTAATGTGTTCTAAACAAAATGTCTAAGGTTATCTTACTATTATCATATGTTCTGAAAGGAAAACGTAAATTTGTGAAAATGTTATAAATAAGTTGCCGGGTGTTCTGATTGTTTGGTATATAAAGAGGAAAATAAAACCATTATAACTCTTTTTTTATTTCTAATATATTTCCATAATTGCTTTTTACCGGATTGTTTTCGTTTGAATATATAAGCAACAACGTGCCAATTATCGGAGGGTTTCATTTGTGATTGCAAGGGTGAACTGATTTGCCATTGTAAGATATTATTGATAAACGGCATTGATTCTTCAGCCAGATTCTTTTTTTGTTGTGATTTTTTTGTGATTTTGGCTCTATTTCGTTTATTGAATTTTAGGATTCTGATTTTTGTTAAGCTCGAGCATCATTAAAAAGACATTATTTGTCAAAGTGTCCATCTGGTGTATGAAAAAGATGTATAATATTAAAGGCAACAGTAGTATACCGCTGTTCAAAAGTCATAAATTGATTGACAGAAAAAAACAAAACAAATCCGGGTTACAAACTAAAACCGAGGGAAACATATCAACTATAAGAGGATAACAACGGAACACTGAAACACTATTAACTACTCTATACAAGACAATAACTAGTATAACATGACTCGTAAAACATCATATCTAGTGTGTTTTGTCTAGTTAGGTATGACTTTTAATTTAGCTTTGTAAAGAAGTGCTGACAGTGGTTGCACTTTTCATAACTTCCAGGAATTCTTTCTTTCCTACTGTCTCCTTATTTTCCGAGATGAAGTGCAGTATTCTATATACGAGTACACTACTAAAAACAAAGCAACAATTAGTATTCAACACCAATGTATTCTTTTACAGTATTTATATACAGTAGAACTATAGAAATATGTCATATTTGTAAGTGGTAATTGTCAAAAAAATTGAAACATTTCACTCGCCTGCAGGCCACTGTGATTCATCAGACTTTCTAATACGTTACAAATCTGACAAGTTTGTATTAAAAATCAAGATTATACGTGTTCAAAAAGAGGGTGTGGTTATGTTTGTCTTCTTGAGTCTATCTCTGTGGTAATACAAGACAGTGAAATTGTGCTGCTATGGCAGCGACTTTTCACATATATATCCAGGTTTATAGTCATGACGGTTACAAAAAGCGGTCGACTGTAATATTCTGCCAACAGTAGGCACTAGGAAGCAATATTGGTCAGCAGTGAAGTAGGCAACACCAAAAGAACCTAGCATAATAATGAAATAGCAATGTTAATATGAAATTTATCAAATTTGATGTAAAGAACGGGTTAAAAGTGACTCGTGATTTTCAAAGCATCAAACACAGTCTCATTTTCATATGATTTAATTCAAATACTATTGGTATAGTTGAATTACTTTAGTAGGCAGAAGACAGATATGATTCGCATTAAAAGGGATATAGAGTAAAGAAAGTTACAAAGGAGTTGTTTATAGAACAATATAGAACAAAACTAGTAAAAAGAACGATAACCATATTTTTCAGATGGCATTTTAACCGTTTAACATTAAATAAGTAGGAATTACTATCCAAGACGTATGTTACGGGCATTACATTACATAATTTAGTTTAAATTAATAAAGACAACATCACTAAAATTGATGATTTGCTTTAACAAAATAGATATTTACAGAAACAAGTATGTCCGTAAAATGCAGAAAATACAAAAAAATAAAGAACACTTATAAACGAATGCAACAATTCAAAGGGAACGAGACTGGTGTATGGACCACCAAAAACAGACAAATATGTACAGCAAACACAAAATAGTTTTCGTCAATATCATTTCTCATAAAAACGGAAGGAACAAAGATTCTTTAGTGGGTTATTAAGAATCTCCTGTTTTGCATGCGAAAACTGTAATATTTCCAAGTGGTGAGTTATGAGTCAAATTCTTTTGCGGTGAACAGTCAATGAAAAAACGTAGTGATGATATTTTTTTCGGCTGAATATTAACCTTGACTGAGGAGTCGATGTGACAATACTTGTGTTCCTTAGACTTTGTGCATGTAATGCGGGTATATTGCAAGAGGAAAATGAAATTAAGACATCAAAATGATAACTTTTTCATAGTGGTATGAATGTATTCCTGTGGTGTCTTCTTATTGGTATGAAACATACATTGTCGATACGACAGTGTCATCTTAAAAGGTCTTGTTTAAATTTTCTTATATTCACACTTTGGGTAGGGTACCATACATGATCTACTCGAAATAAACCTTGGCATCTATTCTATTAAAGGTTGACTGAAAAGACCTCTAAGTGTACATTTTTCATGCTGTTGGTTTGAAAAGGTATGACTATTTTAATACGAGTTAGAATTATGTTTCAAAGTAAATCCAAAAAGGCATAGTTATATTCATATCCTGGTTGTACAATAGCTGTAAATGGTTGAAATATTGAACATGTATAAAAATGAGATAATACAAATTGAAACATTCAAGCTTTAAACACTGCCATAAAATCATTATAACGTTTAACTCCTTTTAAAAAGTACTAGATCAATAATTGTTGGTACTCTCTAAAATCTCAAATTTAAATATATCCACCGAAAAAAAATATGCCTGTACCAAGGCAGAACCTCTTTAATGCATGGATTTCTTATGTCATACCTTACTTGGATCGTTATTTTGATAAATAAATGTAGATGCAATATCACTTACGGTTATTTTTAAATAACGATAACCAAAAGTCTCCTTTTAGACATAAAGATGCGCTTTCCACGACATCGATAGGTTTTATTTTTATTTTATCTTCATGATAAGATATAAAATTTTGACATTAAGTTAATGCTGACCTTTCGATCTAAGATAAGTCTGTACTGCCTTGTTCTTTTGAGGAGAATTAAATTTAACGAGTGTTGCATTCTTCTTCTGACACACATGTTGAGCATCTTGTTTCAGACACGGATGCTTATGACATATCCCACTCTTAATGCATACATTTGTAAAAAATAATGCAAACGCACCTCCATAACAAATATCTGAAAGAAACAATAAACTACACAAAAGTCTTTAAGACGAAATAATATATCTATATAACTCCATTGATAGAATATTTCAGCACAAAATATCATCATTTTAACATAATATAATGATATTTAACTATATGAATAATCTAGAAAAACTATATGGATGATGTGATTTCACTGAAAATATGTTCACTGCATTTATAATACAGGATTTCCAAGACACAATTAGGTCTATTTCATACATCTAGAAATTGTACTACAAAAAACTTAAATTTTCTTAGGTGAACTTATCTTAGTTATTTCTCCAAGAAGCACCTACATACCCAGTATAACCATCACCAAGTTGATGCGATATTCCTTAACTTGTGTTTTCTATCAGGATTTCCCAGATAAAGTGTTGCTGCTTTGATAAAGCTACTTTACCAAGTTTTCATAAAGTTTTCATAAAGTTGAAATATCTTTTAGAAAGTTGTACGACTGTCATTATGACTCGCTCTGAAAAATTCTTTGTAATTATGACTACAATCCTATATTCCTTTCCCCGTTGATAACTATCACCGAATATCAAATTGCCACGAGTAACACAATAGGTACCACAAGTGGAGTAGGAGCCGTTTATCTTTTTAAGTATCTGAACCCCATCCCTGTTTTTTTATTGATTCCATGTGGACCTGTTCCTGTAGAGTGTTTTTTTTTAATTTTTCTTTGTACTGGCAATTGCGGACTCATGTGGGGCTTACAGGTTGTACGATTCTCTTTGAATAAAAAAACCCACATTGATCCACTCCTGAATTGTGTTGTCTGTCCATTTTTGACAATGAATTTGAGTACCCCTTTGTAATTTCTGCCTTATTTATAACAGTACATGTGGAACATGTCTTGATTTTAACAGTATAAAGTAATTTTGACATGATAGGACCTAAGGTCGCATAAACATCCAATACAGGACATAGTTCCAAAATAAACGATCTTTGTCAGGTATTTCTGATATAAAATATCGTAAGGACAATGAAATGACACGAGACATACAGGAAATATTTAGTTTTTAAGGTGAAAATGCAAATTTTAACAAGTTTTGTAGTTTTTTTACTCAGTAATAACTACTCTAAACGTTTAGGAACTGTTTGAAAATAATTTTGGTAGTTCATTATCTTACCCTAAAACTAACTGTGCCCTAGTCTAAAATCGATCCCTTACCTCATTTAGATCACCACACGAAAAGTAATGTATCACCCGAAATGAACAGAACGTGACCCAAAATTTTAAGTGAAATAGAAACAAAATTTTATGTTCTTATTTCTCCTTCTTAAGATTCTTGTCGTATTATCTCATCTTTGCATTTGTATTTTTAATCTTGATCGACATTTTAGAAAAAAGCTGTAATGTAGATAAAAAGATGCCTCCGTCAATACAAGATTTGGTGATTGCAAGTACCCATATAACTGTCTCCGCACCATGTCACAACTTCCCTTTTTAGGTGGGGTTTTGTTTGGGGGGAGGTCGTTTGTATACCTGACATGTTAATTTTGATTCAATAAGAAAACTGAATACTAATATTAACCGTAAAACATTTATCACTCATATCAAAATGTTTATGGTTGAGAATAGATTGAAATATATTAGTACCTTATGTATATATAAATCATTCATTTAATTTTCTCTCAGGGACGAATAATGGTTGATGATGAATTGTTCTTTTTAACAAATATCTTATTTATTTGTTTCAGCTTCTATAAGATCATACCACATCTCCTTATTATAGACTTTCATTACAAAATAAGTATTTACTCGATCACCCGCGATTAAAAGTGACGTATATTTTAAATGCATGCTGGGAACAATTGAATGCAAATACAGAAATAGGTTATTGCTTCACAAAAAAATATAAACAACTTGAATACTAATGTCTTATTTTTTTTCTTACAATTCTGAAGTGATATACATATTATATATATTATATTGAAGAACTTTCTTTCGTTAACATATTAATGATAAACGTCACGCTGTAGACGAATGTTGAGTTTGAAAAATTTATATTTAACCTAATATTTTAAGGGTATCTTAATTTTGTGTGACTGTATAGATTATTCTATTCTCACACGATAATGTATCGCTTACAACATGTTT